GTGTTGAAAATCCTGAGATCTATATAAACTTTCAATTTTCTGAACATTAATTATTGAAAACCAAAGGGACATAGGTTAACCTATCTATAAAGGAAACAACAAACTTAAACCCTAAACCTTCATATACATATATATATAATATATATATAATTTTCAAATACAGTGCCAGCTTCTGTAGGATGTATGATAGGTAGATGATAAAGACAGATGATCCATATAGTTGATAATATAAACAAATGATAGGTACATATATCTATACAGAAACATATAGAGATATCCTAAACATAATTTAAAAGTGAACCAACTATGATGAAAAGCTGTTATTTTGAAGCAAAATAGATGTTAGTTGTCTTTTGTTAACTTCCAAAGGAAAACGAAGAAAAGGAAGTGAGCAACTAGAGAATTAGGACAGAAAATTTTAGTTTATTCACAGAAACTGAAAACGATGAATATGGGTTAAGGAGGTTTAAAGGCAGTTATGGTGGAAATAGACTATCAATGAAATGAATGTGATATGTCCTTGAGCTTCATTTTTGATGGGGGAGGTGAAAAATGATATTGCTTCTTTAGTTGGCGTGGATGCTATTTGTTTGTGGAGAGAGATCTGTGCTTGTCTAGATATAAATTTGTAACCCAAAACAGAAGCTAATAAAATAATAGCTACATGGTATGTTTCTTAAACTGTGTTTAGCTGACCATCCATGCTAACAATACAAAGGACATCTCCACCCTAGAAGTCATTGGTGAAAAATTTATCTACAAGCTTTTGTTTCAATATGCTATAAAACTTGAAATATCTCCTACTCACTGTTTCTGCTTCTGGCTCAGTCTGTTTTCATGCTCACTAACTGGGTTAGTAGGATCAACATTCACTTAGTGTCCATGAAGAAATTTTACTGACTTTCATGATTTCATTTCTTTCCTGCCCTGTTACGTTCATGTGGACTCATTACTGCACCCACTTCGGTATTCTCATTTAAATAGATGACTGGAAACCTTCTGCATTCTTGATTACTTCACATTTCCTTAGTGTCCTCTTCTGGTGTCTTTGAGTCCCATCATCTCCTTTTACATTTCTGTCCTTAAGTCTTACTCCTAAAGAGTGTCACATTGGTAATTTCCTACAAAAATTTCTATCAGCTCAGAATGCTTGTGTATCTCAGTCATTTAACAGAGCTAGATGGTCCCATAACCTAAGCACATGGGTGAGGAATTCCATCCTTCCGTTTCTGGAAATGCCTACTTTTTCTCAGAGAAATGTCTCATACCACGTGCAAAATTATGCAACTAGTAAGGGGTATGTAGCCAGTATGAAATGAGAGAAGACATAGAGAGTATATAATAAAATGCAAAAATAACGAGCACTGGTTAAAGACCAAGTAGATGTGCCAGAGTAAACATGAGGGAAAGGGTTCCTAAATCTTTTTTTTTTTATTATTGAGCTTTTAAAATTTCATATAACACTTCCCACTCACATTCATATCCCCTCCCCTATCCATACCCCCCCCCCCACTGAACCCTATGCACTCTGCTATACATGAGTCCTATTCATTCAGGGGTTTGTATCCCAATGTCCTTCAGTGTAAATGTGTGCACTGGAGTCTAGTCAGGCCATCTGGTGGTCCTATGTAAGTCATACTCTCCCTCACCTAGCAGCAATCAGTCTCAAATCATTCTTGATCTAGTGCTGACTGGCCACCTATTTCTCACCTCCCCTTTGAGCCCTTGTTTAATTGAGCTGACATGGGTCCCAAGTTGGATCTCACCACTGCCACAGGCACACATGAGCAAGCCTCCATTGGCCTGGAAGCTTCCACCTCATATGTTTATGAACCAGCCATGGTTCTTACAATCTTTCTACCTCCTCTGCCTCAGTGATTCCTGAGCTGTGGTGGGTGAGGTTCCATATAGCAGTCCCATCCTACACTCTTACAGTCTCTTTTTTTCTCCAAAGCTTGGCCAGTTGAGGCCTTCTGTGTCTATCACACTCTAATGTACATGGAAGTCTCACTGGTGAGAGTTGAGGGTTGCATTAGCCCTCTCACTACCCCTTATTCCACTATGTTCCATGAGCCTTGATTTTAGGAATTCGACTGCAGATGTATTGCCTAGGACCGAGCATCACCCAGGTTTATGTTCTCTACGCCTGACCAGATGTGCAACTCTGCAGTAACCTCCATCTGTTACAAAAAGAAGTTTCTTTGATGAGTGCTGTACACTATGTTGGTTTCCAAAATCTTGAATGATTCACAGACTATTAAGGGTCTTTCTTTCTTTCTTTCTTTCTTTCTTTCTTTCTTTCTTTCTTTCTTCTTCCTTTCTTTCTTTCTTTTTTCTTTCTTTCTCTCTTCTTCCCTCCCTCCTTCCTTCCTTCTCCTTCTCTTTCTCCTTCTTTCCTTCTCCTTCTCTTTCTCCTTCTCCTTCTTCTTCTTGGTTTAGTTTTAAGACAGGGTCTCTCTATAGTCCCAACTCTCCCTCCCCTCTCTCTTTCTTCCTACACCATCCTTAGGTATCCAGGTTGGCTTGGAATTATGAGTTCTCCAGCCTTAGCCTCTTGAAATATGGGATTACACTACTGCATCATCATATCTCCTATAGTACTCTTTAAAATAGGACACAATGGAGTAAAATAGTCAGAATGACCCAACCAGGATTTTACTTCTATGTTCTGTGCTCTTTCAGACTTCCAATATTAAATAAATTAGAGATTGTACATAAAAAACTGCAATCTAGTCAGGCATGGTGGCGCACACCTTTAATCTCAGTGTTTGTGAGGCAGAGGCAGCTAGGTCTCCGTGAGTTTAAGGACAGCCTGGTCTACATAGTGAGTTCCAGGCTAGCTGGGATTATAGGGAGATCCTGTCTCAAAAAGACCAAAAAAAAAAAAAGCAATCTAACAAACCTCTATGATCACATTTTCTTAATCCTGCCTCCACAGCGTATTAGTCAGGGAGACTTCATTTATTATAAAAATCTGATACCATTACGGTGGTTATCATTTATATTTGGATAACTTCAAATTTGCACTGACATTTCAAACCTCCCAAGTACCAAGTGTTCTGTTTATATTAGCATCTCCTTACTTTCAGCCTGTCTTTAAGTCTAAATCTTATGAGTCTTTTGCAGTCTTCATGGTTATTACCTATTGAAAGTTTAGTTGTCATAGACATAAACCAGCCACTTTCTTTCTTCTTATTATTAAAACATGAGCTAGCTTTAAAACTACTACCTACCATATATTTTACAGAAATGGTTCCAATAGCCCACTTTTCAAAAGGAAATATTGACATGTTTTAGAATAAGCATGTACTCTTAAATGCATTGGAAAATTGTTGAAAAGTTTCATGATTTTCGTTGCACGTGTTTTATGCAACTGTGGTTATAGAAGTGCATTTGCTACTTTGAAGTCAAGAAAAGATGATAAAGAGTTAGCCAACAAGGAAAAGGACTTTGATGATTCTAGTTGCCAGAACTTTCTGCCAGAATAATTACATGTTCTAAGAATGAGTATATGACTTTTTTCCTTTGTAATTTCCTCAAAAAAATGTACTATTCTATTCAGTGTTCAGAAAGCCCTTTTCTTAAAGGTGCTACATTAAATTAATGACATTTCAAAAAAATTCAGAAATTTTCTATATGAAGAGAAAGAAATACAGCTTTAACAGGCTAGTATTTGTAAGGTAGAAAGGCCTTAGAAGGTTATTTCCCTTCATCTTCATATTAAGAAATTACAACTTTTTGCCAAGCTAAATATTTTGTGAAGCTATTTACTAGGTTTGTAATATAGCATTAATATCATATTTTACTTTCCAGTGGGGGGGAAATCCTTCAATGGGAAATTATGTGAGAGCTTCATTTTATAAATAGCATTTAATTTAACATAATGTAACACCACATAGAATGCTTCCCTCCTGCTTCTGTTGGTACATATACCAAGAAGACTTCTTTCACCTGACACTTACACTTTAGGAGGGTGCCGTACAATAAATTCCACTTTCTGAGAATTTCAGATGCTGGAGCATTTGTTATTTTCAAGTAACTTCAGAAAAATGAAGATTTTGAGAATAAGAGCAAAGAGTATTTGAAATTAGAATTCCACCCTGCTGCGATACTGCTAGTGAGGTCATGACTGTTTTATGTATCAGATCATCCATTGTGTCTAGCAAAGTCCTGTGACTATAATGACTGTTAACACAGACCCACACACATGCAAGTAAACAAGCATTTGTGTACTAAGCTGAGATATTCTATGATAAAAATAATTTCTTTTATTAATGTAAACATCAATTTTATCTAATTTTGCTTCACATAAAACACATGTAGTCTGGACTAAGCAAGGTCCTTCTTGGTGTAAAGAGTAAGGTGGAAGCCATCTTGGATCCTGGCATTTATCAACTTTTTGACCAGAAAAAAATTTTATTTTCTTTTCCAAACAAGATGATACTAAATTTAAAAATATTCATATCAGCAGTGTGTTCATAGCATTTTTCCAAGTTTATGTATTCATGTGATTGGACAGTCCAGATACAGCCCTCCAGAGAATTAATAGAAATAGAAAGCATTACCTTAATTCTCATACACTCTACTCTGCTCCTATTTTTTTAAAAATCATTTTAGTTACATGATTTACATGTAAATAATAAAGAAATAGTTTTATGCTGATTCACCTGGTTGAGCATCCCCTAGGGAACTTAACCAGAAAGATGTGCCATTTAGTTTTGGCTAGACTCTGTTTTTAGCTATTTCATAACTTTATTACTGCCAGCTTAATTTTAATTTGAATGTAATCTTTCAACATAAGAAGGGAAATCATGGTTATTTTAAAATGAATTATTGAGTGAATCACTGATAAACTATTCTGAGGCTGCTAGAAATATCACTGGATGATTTAATAGACCAAATGAAGTATATGCAGAGGGTAAATTTATTGTAACAACTTTATTTGCAACGTATGACCCTGTAACTCACTGAGCATAACTGCCCCTCTCATTTTATCTTACCTCCAGCACTAGACATCCTTGAGGCATCCTGATGAGAGCTGGATTTATTTCGGTTTTGGTTTTTCCGTTTGTTGACTGCTCTCACAGATCGAAGAAGTACCTCACTAGCCTTGAAGAAGGCCACCATGAACGGCTGCTTTGACTGAGCACCGTGTCGTCCCACAAGACCAGCAGATTTTATGTTGATACTGCGTCCTAGAACATAATACACAAGCATTTGATTTTTGAAAAAGAGAAAAAGTTTATCTGATGTGAGTGAATTCTGAGATACTTTAAACAAGGAGAAACTTTTAAGTATTATTATGTTTTCCTTACAGGCCAAGCTTCTTAAGAACCTTGATGTTTACAATTACAGACAAATACCTACGCATATTTATTTAATTGCCTCTATTCTACCACATCCTTTGGCTAAATTGCATCACTGTATACCAATATAAAGCCAGTATACCTGGCTCTTCTCATTCATTGGTGCTTTCTCAGCAGTAAAGTCAAGAATATAGTAACAGAAAGGCTTGCTTATCCATCAGCCTGGAAATATCCACATGAAATAGCAATTCCAAAGTCAACTGTAAAAGTGCCTTTTACAGTATGAACAGAATCTAGACTAATGACTTTTACCTAACCTTGCAACCAAAAATCTACTGTTTATAATGTAAACAAGCTCACTGAGCCATACGCTCTTGTGACCTTGGCACCTGACCTTGATCCCTGGGAGCCCCAACTTTCCCTGGGGTGTGATCAAATTAGTAAATCAAAGGACTGAATGCAGCACAGCATTAATATTCCAATGCTCACTGAAAACAGTGCGGATTGAGAAGAACTGTGTATATGAGATGTTGTAGGCCAAGGGGTGAAAGGGTAAGATTGTCTAATAAGGGTGGATCCAAGCTTGTAGCTCTCCCATTGAAGCTGGAGAAATGGTTTTGAAGAAAAGTATGGGTGAAGAAAGGCTCAGGAACACAGTTCCAGGAGAGAGACATCTAGAGGAGAGGGTGCCCTCCAAATTCAGGTGCCCTCTTAAAACTAAAGTCAAGAGTCAAGTTGTTTATTCAAGTATGACTGTAATGTGGATTAGTAACACCAAAGTCAACTATGGGCCGTTCTGCATTAAATACCCCATAGTTTTCCTCTAAGTGATACAAGGGTATATGTGCTTTCTCCAGCTTGAGTCAGTCTTTCCAGTGCTAAACACTGGATACTGACAATCTTTCTCCTTTACTTCTGGCAGCCTCAGTAAACTTTATAAAGCTGTTTGCTCTACTTACCATTCTTTACAAGTCAGTCTGGGAGACCCTTCCTAGGGATGCAAGTTTGTTTTAAACTCCCTTCGTTCTGATTATGAAATATTTTGAAACAAACATGGAAATTTCTAAATTCTTGTCTCTCTGGATTTTCGCATACAGAATATTAACTGAGAAGATTTTAGAAGAGTCAAACCAAGCCTGGAGTCTCTCAAGAGAAAAATTTACTCATCTTTACTTCTCAGTTAACCCATACTTCATCTAACCCTCATTAATGTGTAGACATACAACAGAAAGAATAGAGACAGACAGAGAAACCAGGGTGTGTTGCAAGACTAGGTGTCCTGGGTACTAGAAGTTGATGTTGATTAAAGGACCTTACTCATGAGGAAGCAAAAATATTTATAATCATACTAAATATGTTTGGAACCTTTACTGTGTGTACCATTTTCTGGGTAGTCTTTCTAAATTATTTATTGATTCTACAAACATTCTAGGAGTTAGGTAACACTAATTCTCCCTTTTTAATAATTCACTTTTCTTATGCTCTTCTAATTTAAAATAATTGTCACTTAAATTATGTCTATATTATATGCAAATAAATAATGCATCTAATATATAAGTATATATTATATACCTATATATACAAAGAAAACCATTGATTGATAATCTGGCTCCATGGAAATCACACAAAAAGGGCAATCTTTTTAACTTTGAGTTATAAATTTAGTTGAAAATTACTGAGACTTATACAAAGTTAGTACTCCAGATATGAAGTTACCAATCCTAAGGTAATATGTAACATGGTTTGAAAAAAGTGCATGACTGACTCTGGCTGCCCCTGAGAAATATGTATGTTGTCTTGAAACATTTATTCAGTAAAGACTGTGGCACAACCTCAGTCCATTAAAAGACCCAACTAATCTTAAAGGAAAGAAAAGGAATACAGCTCCCTAAAATGGTATCAACGGCATTTCAGTAAATAAACCCTTGTTCTTAATGAAATTTATTTAGGCAGCATAAACAGTTTTGTGTATACATGTATTGTACAGAGAGACTTTGCACTATCAGAAAATGAGACTGCGTTGTAAGAGATTTTGCAGCTGTTGTGAGCGACAGAGCTCCTTTACATGTGGTAATGCTTTTTAAAAGAAAGGTTGCACAAATCCAGGCAACATAAGTGTCTTCATTGATTATTCTTCTACATAGTGGAGAATGTTGTCTATAACAAGAATTAAAATGGACATCTACCTCACAGGACTCTTTACTCTAAGTCCTACCAGGAAAAGGACTTACAAATAACCCAAGCAGTAAACCTTAAACAAATAAGCGTACAGGGTTCTCTTTCAAATGCAAACTTACAGTGGCCCTATGCCAGAGAGTATATATTTCTTAGAAAAATTTTATCATTGGCATAAATGAAGGAAGCCATTTGATTTGTGGTTAGAGCAGTTTCCATTTTACTTCCACTGTAGCAAATGTATTAATTCAGCTCAGACTTCCTCCTTCTGGCAGCCTTTTTACTGTAAAAAGAGAAATTAGAAGTTCCAGCCAAATACCATACCTTGAACTGACCCACTTCAATACATAAACACTTTTATAACATGTTTATTCAGGTGTAGCACTTGAAATTGGTTTAAGAGTTTCCAGTGACAGAGAGCTCAACAAAAGAAAAGAAAATGAGAACTGAGAGACTTAACTGTTATGCAATAGAGTAACTGCAGTCTGGTCTTCATTTTTTTCCCCTTTTCAAATATAACATAAAAAAGTATTTGTTGAAACTTTTACTTTGATCTTTTCATGAAGTGTTAATTTAACAGAAACTAAACATTTGCTTGTACACACTGATGCCTGAAGAAATCATTTTTAATATATGGTCTCCCTAATTATGAAATAAGTAGCTGTAAGATCTTCACAATGGGAATGTGGTAAAATCAGTTTTCTCTTCATTACAACACACATTGACTCTTTCATAGTTAAATAAGTACTAAAGTTCCAAGTTTCCTTTGGCTTGCAAAAGAGTTCCTTCTATTTTCATTCCAAGATTTTCAATATTTTTATTTTTAACTGTAGAGGAATAATACTGCTCTAAGGATATGTCTTCTGAAATTGTAAAGATGTGTGTTACAGTTTTCTTGAATTTTACAAAGATATTGTATATGAAGTAAAGTGTCCTTCAAATCAATGTAAATTCCCTTTAAAATAACTTTTATTATCACTCAAATTCTTCTTGATCTCTTTATCACTTCATCAATGAAATGACTATTACGATTCTGTGTGTGCCTATTCAGTTGCCCTAGGTCTTGAAATGCTTATGAAAGCATTATCTATTTGATCTACCCCTTTAAACATAATATATTTGCATTGATTATGTTGAATAAATCTTTTGAATGAACAACTGTTTTTATTCAAAGCACTGACAGGAACACACACTATACACATAATATGTTAAAAATAGTGAATCCTTTCTAAATATTTATTGAATCATCTTGAAAATTGTTATAAAGTAAGCAGTATGTGTTAGATATTAAAAATACATAATGAAAGAAACCCGAAGCATTTTGATTTAGGAAAACTGTATGGGTGGGTATGTGTATTACTAAGGCTCTTCAAAGTTGATGTGGTTATTGTTTCCAGGTTAGACAGATAGATATATAGATACATAGCTAGATAAAGGGACCATTGAATATACAATGGAAATTAAAATGGGGTGGTATCACGTGAGCATTAAAATAAAAGAGTGGGAAGTGTATTAGCTTGAGTCCATGCTTAGGTGTCTTAGGACTCAGGCATGTGTTTGAATAGCTAGAACTTGATAGGGTCAATTTAACCAGAATATATTTGAATGAGGAAAGCTACTTCATGGGTAAAAATCACCCTATGGAAAAGGTGAATCCCAAAAACACAGACTTAAAGGAAAGTCCCAAGGAACGTAAGGAAGTCATGATTCACTCTCCTGAGTCTGTAACTCAAAGTTATTATTGTCACCTTGCTCCAGTGGTTGCATCTCTATTTCTAGAAACAAAAAATGATCAAAGAAAAATCTAGCAGCCCTTTTAACCTATGCCTGTGTAAAGTATTGGGAGGTAGTACTGGAAGTACTGCAATCAAGTATTAGAACTTAATTAACAATGGCAGAAGCAGTGAATAAATATTCTCCTTGTGTGAGACAAGTTACTTCTGTGCAGCTCTGCCATGGCCAGGATGGCAGCAAAAGTACCAGTTTCAAAATAGTATTCTACATTTCCTTCTCACTTCGCCAATAAAATGATTCTGTAAGTCTGTGCTTATTCAGTTACTCTAGGTCTTGAAATGCTTATAAAAGCATTATCTATTTTATCTATCCCTTTAAACACAATATACTTACATTGATTATGTTGAATAAACCTTTTGAATGACGGAACAGCTGTTTTTTCTTCAAAGTACTGACAGGAACCCGCACTATATTACATGTATTAAAAATAGTGAATCTTAACCGGGCGTGGTGGCACATGCCTTTAATCCCAGCACTCATGAGGCAGAGGCAGGCGGATCTCTGTGAGCTCAAGGTCAGCCTGGTCTACACAGTGATTCCAGGACAGCTGGGGCTACAGGGAGACCCTGTCTCAAAAAGGCAAAAAAAAAAAAAGTGAATGCTTTGTAAATATTTATTGAATCATTTCGAAAAATATTATCAAATAAGCAGTATGTGTTATTTCAGCATCAGCACTGACTTAGAGATCTCGAGCAGCTCTCTGAAAGATTAACAGAGCAGAGGTCTGAAAGCACTGGCAGTTTGATACCAATGCGCCAATGCAGAAGAATATGTCAATGTTGCCTTATAAAATACCCATATTTTAATGCTGCACACTGGGAAAGAGGGCAAAGAAATAGTCTAAATTACCGGCACAGTAACAGGAGGCAAAGAACTGCGTGCTGGAAGTTGCTCAATTTTAGATACATTCGCATTCTCCC